CCCTTCCTCTTCTTGGAGCCATCAGCCACTTTCTTGCCTTTCCTATCCTGAAAACTAAAGAATTTCCGACACAAGGGATATACAGACAAAACTGTCAGCTTTTTTCAAAAACAACCATACCAAAGTCAGATAATTCCCAGATTTAATTAAAGACATATCAACCACCCAAGCCAAACCAAATTTGTTTCCCACTTCCAATATCACTCTCTGTAAACAACACACACTTCCACAATTATTACTCACAACTTTTATCAAACACCTCACATACATATTCAAAACATGCACACTATTGATCAATGCACACACAATACTTGCACACTATCAACACACAAAACTCATTCACACATTTTATCAAACACCTCACATACATATTCAAAACATGCACACTATTGATCAATGCACACACAATACTTGCACACTATCAACACACAAAACTCATTCACACATTTTATCAAACACCTCACATACATATTCATACTCTCCACCACATAAATCGTCAATTTGGCATACATAGTCAGGCATACATAGACATCAACACCCACACACAAATTCAAATAATAATAAAAAAAAACAAGGAAAGAAGAAGAAAAGAAAAAAAAAAAAAAACCTTTGGTGGTGCCATTAGTGATGAAGTGAAATATGTGATGGTTGATGTTCTATGGTGGGTGATGAACTAAAGATGAGAATGGGAAAGGGAGAAGGGAGATGGTTGTGGTGTGGAAGAGTGTTAAATAGAAGTATGGGAAGATGAAGAATATGGAAGATATGAGGGTTTCGGGGGGGGGGGTGGGAAGGTTAGGAAACTGAATTAGGAATGGGGAAGTGGTGGGGAGGTGGGAAATAAAAGCACGGGCGTTTTTTTTATTTTTATTTTCCCGTCCACGCTCCATCGCGCGTGCGCGCGGCTTTTTTGACCCACAAGTTATATATTTTTTCCAGTTCTTGCGCGGTATCACGCAGACCTGTGCGTTATATCGCGCTCTCACTCGGCCTTCTGGCCTATGGTACGAATGTTTTTTTTTTTTTGAGTAAAGACTTTACATTGGAGGGTTGCCTCCCAGCTAGCGCTTGTTTAACGTCCCGAGCCTGACGGTTACCTCTTTAAGGCTGAAGGGATGTTAGGCGCAAAGCCACTGCGTGCTTTACCACAGGTCCTCCACGGAAGAACTTCAGCCTCGAGCCATTGACCTTGAAAGGTCTGTCTTCATCCATGGGAGATATTTTAACAGTGCCATAGGGAAACACCTCTTTAACCACAAAAGGACCTGTCCACCTGGATTTCAACTTTCCTGGAAACAGCTTCAGGCGAGAGTTATACAACAACACTTCCTGACCAGGCTCAAATTCCTTGTGTACAATTCTGCTATCATGGTATTTCTTTGTCTTTTCCTTGTATATCCTGGCACTTTCAAAAGCAGAATTCCTAAACTCATCAAGCTCTAATAATTGAAATTTTCTCCTCTCAAGAGCTACTGTAGAATCAAAGTTCAGGAATTTGATAGCCCAAAAGGCTCTATGTTCAAGCTCCACAGGTAAGTGACAAGCCTTCCCATACACCAGCTGATAAGGGGACATCCCTATAGGAGTTTTATATGCAGTTCGATAGGCCCATAGTGCATCATCTAATCTTTTTGACCAATCTTTCCGAGAAATGCTAACAGTCTTTTCAAGAATGCGCTTCAGTTCCCTGTTGGAAACCTCGACTTGACCACTAGTCTGCCGATGGTAAGGTGTAGCAACCTTATGCCTGACACCATACTTGGCCAACAAATTCTCAAACTGCTTGTTGCAAAAATAGGAGCCTCCATCACTTATAATTTCTCTTGGCACACCAAACCTAGTAAAAATGTTCTTCCGCAGAAAATTCACAACCACTTTGGCATCATTAGTAGGAAGAGCCACTGCCTCAACCCATTTAGAAACATAATCAACAGCTACCAAAATGTACTGGTTGGAATAGGAAGATATAAATGGGCCCATAAAATCAACTCCCCACAAATCAAATAACTCCACCTCCATAATACTGTTTAGAGGCATCTCATCTCTACGGGATATGTTACCCGTTTTCTGGCATTTTTCACACTTTTCAACATATTCTCTTGCATCTTTGAAAAGTGTAGGCCAATAGTAACCACTTTGTAATACTTTTTGGGCAGTTCTATTACCACCAATATGGCCACCATATTCAGAATTATGACAATGCCACAAAATTTCTGTAATTTCCATCTCAGATACACACCTTCTCAAGATACCATCAGAACATTGGAAATAAAGAAAGGGATCATCCCATACATACCTCCTCGCATCATACAGAAACTTTTTCACCTGTTGCTTTGTGAGACTAGGAGGTATTTTCTTGATCACTTTAAAATTGACAACATCAGCAAACCAAGGCTCTACATGCATAGCAAAAATCGGTTTTTCAAATAACTCTAAAGAAATAGCAAGAACCTGTTCATCAGGGAAAGAATCATTGATTTCTATAGCAGGATCATCTTGCAGGTTCTTCTTCTGAATTCTGGACAGATGGTCAGCAACTTTATTCTCCATTCCAGACTTATCTTTTATTTCCAAATCAAATTCTTGGAATAACAGCATCCACCTTAACAATCGTGGCTTGGCATCCTGTTTGGACATCAAATATTTTATAGCCGCATGATCAGTGAAAATAATAGTCTTGGCACCAAGGAGATATGGTCTAAATTTATCCAGAGCATACACCACAGCAAGCATCTCCTTTTCAGTTGTTGCATAATTCACTTGAGCTTCGTTCAAAACTTTACTGGCATAGTAGATAACATGCAGCAATTTATTTTTCCTCTGCCCAAGAACTGCACCAATGGCAAAATCACTAGCGTCACACATTAACTCAAAAGGCATACTCCAATCAGGAGATATTAAAACAGGAGCAGTGGTGAGCTTTTCTTTTAGCAAATTAAATGCTTTGAGACAAGCATCATCAAAAACAAACTCATTCTCTTTCATCAGAAGCTGACTTAGTGGCTTAGCAATTTTAGAGAAGTCCTTAATGAATCTTCTATAAAAGCCAGCATGGCCAAGGAAACTTCTCACTCCATTAACGTTAACTGGAGGAGGGAGTTTTTCAATGAGCGTCAATTTTGCTTTGTCCACTTCTATACCATCCCTTGAAATTTTATGTCCAAGCACAATGCCCTCTTGGACCATAAAGTGACATTTCTCCCAGTTGAGAACCAGATTTGTCTCTTGGCATCTTTGTAGCACCTTAGACAAATTGTCTAAACAAACATCAAAATGAGAGCCGAAGACAGAAAAGTCATCCATGAAAACTTCCAAATACTTTTCCACCATATCAGAAAAAATAGACAGCATGCACCTCTGAAAAGTAGCAGGTGCATTGCATAACCCAAACGACATCCTCTTATATGCAAAAACGCCAAAGGGACAAGTGAATGTTGTCTTTTCCTGATCTTCAGGGGCTACTGCAATCTGATTATAGCCACTGTACCCATCTAAGAAACAATAATAAGAGTGACCTGCTAATCTTTCCAGCATTTGATCCACAAAAGGAAGAGGAAAGTGGTCCTTCCTTGTTGCAGCATTAAGCCTTCTATAATCAACGCACATCCTCCAGCCAGTAATTGTCCTGGTGGGGATCAGCTCATTCTTATCATTTTTCACCACAGTGATACCTCCTTTCTTAGGTACAGTTTGTACAGGACTTACCCATGCAGTATCGGATATAGAATAAATCATGCCTGCATCAAGGAGTTTAACAACTTCTTTTCTCACCACCTCCTTCATCATGGGATTTAATCTCCTTTGAGGCTGCCTTACCGGTTTGATATCATTCTCCATCAGAATCTTATGTGTGCAGAAGGAAGGACTTATACCCTTTAGATCAGTAATAGACCATCCCAAGGCAGTTTTGTGCTCTAGAAGAACTTGTTTCAACTTTTTCTCATCATTAGAAGATAACCCCTTATTAACAATTACAGGATATGTCTCATTATCTCCCAGAAACATGTACTTCACATTAATAGGCAACTCTTTTATATCAACTTTAGGAGCACCTATTTCTTTATCAGACTCCTTATGTTCAAGAAACTCATTAGCAATATAAATATCCTCCTCAAAAGGGATATGATCTCGCTCATGCAAATCATCATTCAATTCTTGCAAAGGAGTTTTCTCTTCATGTACCACCTCCTCTAAGACATCAATTTTGAAACAATCACCATCTTCATAGGGTCTTTTCATAGAATCAAAGACATTGACAGTAATTGTATCGTCATTCATTCTTAACACAAGTTTCCCTTGCTCCACATTAATCATAGCGCGAGCTGTGGCCAAGAAAGGTCTACCCAAAAGAAGGGGCATTTCATTTTCAACTTCCATATCAAGCACAACAAAATCAGCAGGGAAAATGAACTTGTCAACTTTCACAAGAACATCTTCGATAATACCACTTGGCTTCCTTAGGGATCTATCAGCAAGCTGAAGAGAAACCAAAGTAGGCTTCAATTCAGTAATCCCTAAGGCTTTACAGACAGATAAAGGCATCAAATTAATGCTTGCCCCCAAATCACATAAGGCCCTGCCAATCTTTGTTTCACCAATTTCAATTTCAATGTTGAAGCTTCCAGGATCACGAAGCTTAGGAGGGAACTTTCTAGTAATGATGGCACTGCACTCTTCAGTAAGTGCAACTGTTTGACATTCTTGCAGCTTGTGCTTTCTGGAGAGAAGGTCCTTCATGAACTTTGCATAATTTGGCATACTAGCCAATGCTTCAGCAAATGGAATGTTCACATGCAACTTCTTAAAAATGTCAAGAAACATGTCATAGTTTTTTGCTTTCAGCTCTGGCTTCAACCTTCCAGGGTAAGGTGCCATTTTCATAAGATATTCCTCACTAAGCTCAAACTTCTCTTTTGAAACAACAGGTTGGTCTTTCTGTTTACCAGCAACAACAGGCCTTACTACTTTCGGAGAACTCCCAGCTTCTTTTTCAGATTTCTCTACCTCTTCAACTTTCTCATCCTCCTCCTTCTCAATGATAGGCTTTGGGGAGATGCCACCACTTTACCACTTCTGGTGGTGATAGCCAAACAACCTTCCTTAGGATTAGTGATAGTATTGCCAGGAAATGTACCTGGTGCTCTGTCAGACAATTGTTGGGCAAGCTGACCAATCTGATTTTCCAGGTTCTTAATTGAAGCTTTGGTATTCCTGGCATCAGCTCTACTCTCCTCAATGAAAGCATTGGTACTTCTTTGATTAGCTCTACTATCTTCCATGAAAGCATTAGTACTCTGTGCCAAAGATCCAACTAACCGCTCCAAATCAGAAGGCTCTCTTTGTGGAATAGGTGGTGGCTTCAAATAATTATCAGATTTCATATCTAAACCAGTGCCTTGATAATTCCTTCTTTGGTAATTTTGCTGGTTAGGACGCTGATCATACCAAACACCATTTACTTGCAGTTGTTGAGAAGAATCTGAAGACATCAGTGTTGGACAAGCATTAGTATCATGATTCTCATGGCAGTATTCACATTCAACATTAACAGCATTGGCTTGAACTTTAGAAAACTGCATCCTCTCAAATTTGGTATTCAAATTAGTCATCTGCTGAGACAATATTTTTTGCTCAGCCAAGACTGCATCATGATCACTTAATGGCACCACTCCTCTTTTTCCCATCCTTGAGGTTGTCTCATTCTCATTCTTAGCCAATTTGTCAATCAGCTGATATGACTCAGATGCTAGTTTGTCTCCCAAAGAACCTCCTGCTGCAGTATTCACAACCAATTTGGTTTCAGGCAGACACCCATTGAAGAAAATCCGCACCTGATCGCCTTGAGATAGGTTATAATGAGGAACCTTTCTCATGAGAGCCTTAAATCTATTCCAAGAAGCACAGATGGTCTCTCCCAGATGTTGTTTAAATGATGTGATATCATTCACCATGTTATTGTATTTTTCCATGGGAAAGAATTCTGCAAAGAATTTCTCAGACAAATTTTCCAAAGTAAGGATGCTTTCAGCAGGTTGTCTTTCCATCCAATCAAGAGCTTTTCCCTTAACAGCAAAAGGAAAAAGTCTCAACCGTATGGCATCATCTGAAACATGTGGAGGCTTTGTGGAATCACAGATTCTTAAAAATCTATCAACAAATCTATGCAGATCTTCATCATCCTCTCCTCCATATTTTTCTCTTTCAGCCAGCTGAATAATATTGGACTTGAGCTCCCATTGATTGTTCCCAAGGTCAGGTGGAACAATGCCAGCATTTGGCCTATTAAAAACAGGTGTGAGGATAGTATTCATGCGTGGATCTGCATTCTGATTAGGAGCAGCCATCTC